TCTATGCCAGTTCGGTCTAATCCCGCCTCGCGACTGTGCCGTGACGGGGGTGGGAAGAGACGAGCTGCGACTGCTACTGTGCAAGTCACAGACCTATCCCATGACAGGCCTTCATTTTGTTGGTTTTTATCCACCCAGTGAGGAACACACCGCTGGCTTAACGTATGAATCCAGAACTTCCCGGCCTGTACACGAGCATAAGTTAGGACGCGAAATTTTCCCAACCCCCATCCTAGGCTGTCACATGAGGTGGCTGCTTCATCATCCATAATGGGCAGAAGCACTGAAGTTCTTATGAGTAGTGAGTTTGTTTGCAAAATCTAGTAAGTCTGAACCAGTCAATAAGGATTCTTGTCTGAAAAAAGAAATATGTTGTGGCTTTTAGGGAAAAAGTGGGCAGTATCCCGATGCTCGCTATACTGATATGAAAACCTGTCCTTTTGTATTTTACTGTATAGGAGAAAAAGGCGTCGAAGAGGTTGGAGAACGTAAAGAAGGATCAGGAACAGCGACTGAAGAAACTACAAGAAGAACAGGTTAAGTGATACTTCATCTCGTTCCCCTTGTAGTAACTTCGATTGGTTCATGGCACATTGCCCGGTCCTGTCTCATACGTTACTCCATGCAGTCTGTTTCTGAAAAGAACTCTAAATTTATTTATAGGTTTTGGACAACAGAAAGGCCGAGTTGCTCGAGTTGAATGCTGACTTGGTAAGTCTTATCTCCTTTCCTTGGTCAGATTTGCAGTAGCCAAGTCTTTTTTTTAGAGCGTAACACCGTCATAGTGCAGATCGAAAAGGCATTGCCGGTGCCTCCACACCGTCGCACTTCCTCCGCGTGGGAATTGTGGCAGAAGTGACAATGATAGTTGAAGTCTTTTAAAAATGCCTACTAAATTAATTTCAGTAGGTGTAGTTTTTATTTCAGAAACTCAGCAACCCACGAAACAAAGTCTACAGCCATTTTTTGCAGCTCGTGGGTTTTTTGCTCCCCAGTAAAGGCCCTTCTCGTGTCTTTCTTTCTCTCTGGTACACCTTATCAGGCTTCAGCCGTGTTTTTGACCCTCCATCCCCTCTGTGTTGGTCCGTGCGCCTCTGACACTCAACTTCTGCAAGTCCTATTCTTCCGCTGTTTTTTTTTGCAGGTGGACAAGGTGCTATACGCCATCAACTATGCGCTTGCCAATCAGACCTCCTGGAACGTCATCGAGGCCGCAGTTGCAGAGCAGAAGGCTCGAGGCGACCCTGTCTCCAGTTGCATTGAACGTCTTCAGTTAGATTTAAATCAGGCTGTTCTCCGTCTCAGGTAAGCATCTTCATGGAGATCAAGTTTATGTTCCTGCTCTCAAATTGCACTCAGTGGTGAGAGTCCTGGGGCTCAACTGCCCGAAGTTAAGCGAACAGAAATGCGTACCGGTTGCTCTTCATTTATCGGAACATTTTTCCATCGCTGGCGACCGTCCCCAACCGCATCCCGAGCGCTAATCTTGAAATGTGATCCAACCGAAACAGAACTTATTTTGTTAGGATATGCACCAGCAAGGCATGTGAACAGGAACCTCCCTTTTCCGGGAGTCTTTCGATAAGTTACCAGGCAATTAGGGTTATAATTCACGTAAAGTTTTGATTCGGTTAGGGATTGTGACTAGGCTGAAGGTTAAATTTAGGCTTAGGCTTAAGGTTATGACGATAATATTTACCCCTTCCGGAATTTTGTTCAAATCCACCTATAGAAATGCCGGCCATTTATGGCTTATTAGCCACCGCCAGCCAGTCATATCCAGGCCCAAGTGGTGCAAGTGGGGCCTCGAATTCAAGACCTTTTTTATCCGAGTCTGAGGCTCTAACCATTGAGCTACGAGCTCGTTTTCTTATCGGTTTTCGTCGGGAGCTATTGAAACTCTTTGCTGAACGTTCGCCGACGGTTAACGGAAATCACTTGTTCC